GGGCGGGGGGAGAGCGGGGCAGGGGACGGAACCAAGCGGGGCAGGGGGGGGGAGTCTCCTCTGAGAGTGAAATGGGTTAAAATCCACCCGAAAATGGGTCAAAATCCACCCGAAAATGGGTCAAAATCCATCCCAAAATGGGTTAAAATCCACCCGAAAAATGGGTCAAAATCCATCCTGAAATGGGTCAAAAATTCACCCGAAAATGGGTCAAAATCCATCCCAAAATGGGTCAAAATCCATCCTGAAATGGGTCAAAAATTCACCCCAAAATGGGTCAAAATCCATCCCAAAATGGGTCAAAATCCACCCGAAAATTGGACAAAATCCATCCCAAAATTGGACAAAATCCACCCGAAAATGGGTCAAAATCCACCCCAAAATGGGTCAAAAATTCACCCTGAAACTGGTAAAAAAGGTGTCAGATTTTCCTGGGATAAATTGGTAAAAAAGGCACCAAATTTTCTTGGGATAAACTAAAAAAACAACCAAATTTTCCTGGGAAAAAGTGATAAAAACCCCAGTTTTTTGCCATATTTTTCACCCCAAATCCCATTTTTCATCCCAAATCCCGTTTCTTGCCCTGGCAGGTGCTGCGATGCCGCTGTGCCCACGTGGCGGCTGAGGCTGAGGCCGAGGGCTGCGCATTCCATAAATTGGTAAAAAAGCCAAACTTTCCTGGGAAATACTGGTAAAAAAGGCACCAAATTTTCTTGTAATAAATTGATAAAAAAGCCAAATTTTCCTGGAATAAATTGGTAAAAAAAAACCCAAATTTTCCTGGGAAAAAGTGACAAAAAACCCAAATTTTCCTGGGAAAAAGTGATAAAAAACACAAATTTTCCTGGGAAAAAGTGATAAAACCCCCAATTTTTTTGCCGTTTTTTGCCCCATATCCCGTTTTTTCACCCCAAATCCCGTTTTTCCCCGGCAGGCTCCGCGATGCCGCTGTGCCGGCGCGGCGGCCGAGGCCGAGGGCTGCGCGTTCCATAAATTGGTAAAAAAGCCAAATTTTCCTGGGAAAAAGTGATAAAAACCCCAAATTTCCTGGGAAAAACGGATAAAAGCCCCAATTTTTTTGCCGTTTTTCACCCCAAATCCCGTTTTTTCACCCCAAATCCNTGGAATTGGGGATTTAGGAGTGGAAATGGGGATTTAGGAGTGGAATTGGGGATTTAGGAGTGGAAATGGGGATTTAGGAGTGGAATTGGGGATTTTGGAGTGGATATCAGGGTGTGGGATTGGAATTGGGTGTTTAGGAGTGGAACTGGGGATTCAGGAGTGGAATTTGGGTTCCAGGGCTGGGAAAAGCAGCTGCAGGTTGGGGTTCAGAACCCCTCATCGAGGCACAGCCCCCAATTCCCCTTCCTTTATCCCCAACTCTCTGGGGCCATTAATTGGATGGCACCGGACTGGGGTTTGGGCAGATTTGGGGCGGATTTGGGATGGAATTTGGGTGGATTTGGGATGGATTTAGGATGGATTTGAGTTGGATTTGGGGTGGATTTGGGGCGAATTTGGGGAAGATGTGGGGTGGATTTGGGATGGATTTGAGTTGGATTTGGGATGGATTAGGAGCAGATTTGGGTTGGATTTGGGGTGGATTCAGGTGGATTTGGGGTGGATTTGGGATGGATTTGGGTTGGATTTGGGGCGGATTTGGGGCAGATTTGGCTGGATTTGGGATGGATTCGGGGTGGATTTGGGTTGGATTTGGGGCGGATTTGGGATGGATTTCAGTTGGATTTGGGGCAGATTCGGGTTGGATTTGGGGCGGATTCGGGGCAGATTCAGGTTGGATTCGGGGCGGATTTGGGGCAGATTTGGGGCGGATTCAGGTTGGATTTGGGTTGGATTTGGGGTGGATTTGGGGCGGATTCAGGTTGGATCCTGGGGGAACCCCGTTTTTCCCCCCAAGACGGCGGACCAGCACTACCTGGAGGGGTTCACGGAGGAGCTGGAGGGCTTCAAGGAGCGGGTGCGGGGCCGGGCGCGGGCGCGGCTGGAGAAGGCGCTGCGCGAGTACGAGGAGGAGGAGCGCCAGAAGCGCCTCGGGCCCGGCGGGCTCGACCCCGTCGACGTCTACGAGTCCCTGCCCCCCGTGAGTCCGGGCTGAACCCCCCGATTTGGGGCCTTTCGGGGTCCCCTCGCAGCTTTTTCCCCGCTCTGAGTGGGTGCTGGAGGTCTGGGGGCTCCCGGTGGGGCTGGGTTGAGGGGGTCGCTCCCAGTGCTGGTCTGGTTTTGAGGTTCAACCTCCCGGTTTTGAGTTTTTGGAGTGTTTCCTTGGGATCGTTGGCTCCCAGTTTGAGCCGGGTCACTCCCAGTGTGATCCCAGTATGATCCCAGTCGCTTTCAGTATATCCCAGTCACTCCCAGTATGATCCCAGTCACTCCCAGTATATCCCAGTCACTCCCAGTATGTCCCAGTCACTGCCAGTATGATCCCAGTCACTCCCAGTATGTCCCAGTCACTGCCAGCATGATCCCAGTCACTGCCAGCGTGATCCCGGTCACTTCCAGTGTGATCCCAGCATGATCCCAATCATTTCCAGCATGATCCCGGTCACTTCCAGTATATCCCAGTCACTCCCACAGTGATCTCAGTCACTCCCAGTGTGATCCCAGCATGATCCCAGTCACTCCCAGCATGATCCCAATAATTCCCAGTGTGATCCCAGTCACTCCCAGTATATCCCAGTACATCCCAGTCACTCCCAGCATGATCCCAGTCACTCCCAGTATATCCCAGTCACTCCCAGCATGATCCCCGCCCCTCCCAGTTTGATCCCAGCCCCTCCCAGTACATCCCAGTTGCTCCCAATGTGATCCCAGTATATCCCAGCCCCTCCCAGTACGTCCCAGTCCCTCCCAGTCCCCCTGACCAGTGCCTGGCCCGGCAGGAGCTGCAGAAATGCTTCGATGTCAAAGACGTTCAGATGCTGCAGGACACCATCAGCAAAATGGACCCAACCGTGAGTGTTTTACCCCAAAAACCCCTTGAGGGGTCCCCAAATCCCTCAGGGGTGTCCCTAAATCACTCGGGGGTGTCCCTAAATCACTCGGGGGCGTCCCCAGATCCATCGGGGTGTCCCCAAATCCTTCGAGGGTGTCCCCAAATCCCTCAGGGGTGTCCCTAAATCACTCGGGGGTGTCCCCAAATCCTTCGAGGGTGTCCCCAAATCCCTCAGGGGTGTCCCTAACCCATCAGAGGTGTCCCGAAATCCCTTGGGGGGATTCCCAGATCCTTTGGCATGTCCCCAAATCCCTTGGGGTGTCCCCAAATCCCTCAGGACAGGTCCCAAACCCCTCGGGGTGTCCCCAAACCCCTCGGGGATGTCCCCAGATCCCTCGGGATGGGTCCCAAATCCCTTGGGGTATCCTGAGATCCCTTGGGATGGGTCCCAAACCCCTCGGGGTGTCCCCAAACCCCTCGGGGGTGTCCCCAAATCCCCCAGGG